TTAAAAGCGTTTCCGAAAAAAAGCTGTTTCTAAATGCTCCAATACCTATTAGCTTGTTAGCCACACCGTATATCAATGCTGTCTGGATGAGATGCTAATCTCAAGTATAACCACCACCGATGCTAACGATTTCCTAAAAAAATCATAAGAATCTGTTTTTGTAGAAAGCATGTTTGGTCTTCTGTACGTTCGAAGATCAGTTACGATGTGGATACTGTTATGGTGTGAGCGCAAACCGCACATGTTCGCCTTCCTTCCCGCTCCACGTTCTATAAGTTTACTCTCAGTGCCTCTGCCACCACTGCTTATGAACCTAATCATGCCCAAACATCTAAAGATGAAAAACATATTTTATACAATTTCTGTTGTGAAATCTTATATATAAAGCTGAATGTCTGTTTGTATGTCTGTATGTATGTCTGTATGTACGTATGTTCCGAATAGAAAATTCCATTTCCGAACCGATCGGGACCAAACTTAGCACACATACAGGGCTTTTCAACATAAGAGTCACAGCCTCCGCTTGCGCGGCTCCTCCAACGCGGCCGCCTCGCTCAGGCCGCGCGCGGCGTTTGCGGCGCATCTCCCAGGCTTTTGCCAAGCTTTAGTCGACGCGCAGCCAGCGCCACGAACGCTGCGCGGACCTAAGGGTGGCGGCCGAGCGGGGCGGCTGTGACACACAGGTTGTAAAGCCCTGTACACTTCGGGCCCCGGCGGGTGTCATAGGCTACTTTTCGTCATCGATCGAAATCGATTTTATCGATTTTTTTGCTAAGTTCACCTACGGGGCTGAGAGTTGGCACAGTGGGGTAATCAAGCATGGGGATTCCGAATACAATATTAGTTTTCAGAATTATCGATTACTTCTATCGATTTTATCGATTTTTTTACAAAGTTTGAGCTACGGGGCTGGGAGTTTGCACAGGGGGGGGGTAATCGAGCATGGGGATTACGAATACAATATTAGTTTTCAGGATTATCGATTACTTCTATGGATTTTTTCGATTTTTTTGCAGAGTTCACCTACGGAGCTGGGAGCTGGTACAGGGGGGTAAGTGAGCATGCTGATTACGAATACAATATTAGTTTTCAACATCATCCATTACTTTTATCGATTTTATCGATTTTTTGCAGATTCACCCACGAAGCTGGGAGTTGGTACAGGGGGGGGGTAAGTGAGCATGCTGATTACGAATAAAATATTAGTTTTTGGATTCATCCATTAGTTTTATCGATTTTATCGATTTTTTGCAAAGTTTAACCTAGAGGGCTGGGAGTTGGCACAGGGGGTAGGTGAGCATGCTGAGAAAACGGGGATAGGGAATTTGCATGAAGAAGTGACACAGGGAAGGATTCTGCACGGATAAGGATGGAACCTTTATCATAGTTTCCACTGAACCGGGCGGAGCCGGGTAAGCAAGCTATTTACTAATAAAAAGATATCGTTACCAATGGAGCGTTTGACGTGATGTGAACGGCGGCACATTTAAGGTAATATAAAAGATTGCAATCAAACAAATTCATGAACACGTTTGTTAAGCGATAACAAAATGATAGAAATATACAGTAATAACATAATATTGATTTTAATAACAATAATACAAGATTAGTAATGTAAATAGTGTCCAAAATAATGTGCACACTGCTTGATCGTTGATAACTCTCTTGCTTTAGAGTCTTTCGCAGATCTTTGAGCACCATTCTTATTGTTGGCTTCAACTTAGACTTACAGTATGGAGAAAATCGATCGCTCTTCGTTACTGCAGGAAGGCAGTAACAACTTTCAGCATATAGAACCACTTTGAATTAATATGTCTGACAAACTCTCCTTGAAGAATTCTGCGAAATTGTGCGATAGATTTATGCTGATTTCATTAGATAAAATGGATCAGTCAAACGCGACGGGTGAACAGATGGCCGATTGTCAGTTCACTTTGCCTGCTTATAGCTTGAGAAGGTGGGCGGTCGTCATTTCACCTGACGAAATCTCAACCGAGGGCTTCAGTTCAGATCACCTGAATTGGTCAGTTTTACTACGAGCCAAAGAAGTCAATTTTGACAAACTATGCATTGGTGCAAATATAGCTACTAAAATTCGTAGAGTTCATCTTACCTACATATGGCAGTAGAAGTACGAGAAAATCAGCCGATTGGATTGCCAACCGTGTCGTTTCGTTAAGCCCTTCGGAGCATTCCTGATATTCACGTTGTTATACCACTTATCCTTTATGAAGGCTCCGAAAAGTCTGGCATTAAATCAAGTCACAAAAAAGAATGAAGCCCGTAACGTGCGCACAAACAAGGTGAGTATGCAAAATAGAAAATGTTAAAGACAGTCTTTTCTCTCACAGCTTGCGTACTCTGCGCATCGCAGATTTTACCTAGCTTGTATCGTACAAACATTGCTGGAGTGTTTTCGGTTCTCATGTTGAACAATGTAAGTTAGAACGCTGTATTTTTTTTAGTTTTTGTGTGAGGTTTCAATGTAGGCAAAAGAACGGTCAAAGGTTCCAAGCGTACAAAACCATAGATATCACCCTTTGAAGGTAAGTCCATGGAAAGCGGCGCAACCCTAAGAAGGTGTGAAAGCTACACCTCTTAAGGGTCATACCACTCTCATCAACTCACTTAAAGAAATTTTACAAGATTTAGATTTATGTTCAAATAGCCTAAATCTCGTGCTACTGGGTTGCTCCAAAGTTCTGTTCGAACATTGATCGTCTTGTTTGACAATTACTACTACTCCTAATGCAGTATTAACGATTAAGGTTGAAACGGAATAATTTACGCACACTCCTCCTCCCACATGGAGAATGTCTCACTTTTCGAAATTTTCTTTTTGAAATGAAGATTCAGTTATTCAACAAGCGACAACAATCTACATATAGCGGCACGTGATGTATTCATTCGTGATGCATATGATAGAGCAAAGGGAGAGAGCAAGCGTCCATTAGCCAACTAGCTTTTTTTATTCGTGCCGGCAACAAAAAAACCAAATATCGGAAGTCGGCATGCTTCAGGAGTCGGCAGGAGGGCTCACGGATCTCTTGATTTTCCCGCAAAAAATTCTATGCAGTAAGGGCAGACTGAATTCTTTTAGCCATCAAATTATTAATGGCAGCCAAATATGTCGGCATACCCTTTTATGGGAGCACTGATATGTAGAACTAGATGGTCTTGAAGGACTGCAGAATTCTTCAAATTTTTCCCTCTTTCGCTTGACTTTTCGCATAATAATATATTGGTGATAGCTGTAATCTCGCTGAATCCAGCAAAATTCAATTTGTTGCAAAATGTTAATTTTGTAAAGAGTTATAACATATCACATCAGAAAATCAGCAAATTAGAACTTTTGAAACAGTCTAATATTTACAGGAGTGTTTTGAGACCTTTGAGACTTATTCCCGTTCTCTAGTTTGTGTAATAGTTGCTGAAAGCGCAGTCACTGAAAGTGGAATATAGCACAAACTAGACTTTGGCTGGCTTTTTGTTCCATGCTTGGTGATTAACTGAACTAGGGTTTTTTATGTGGGCAAGCAAGTGGTACTCTTTGCATTGAGCGCAGAAAGATTCAGCTATCTCGGCTTTGAAATCAATTTTGTCAGTCTGAGAATAACAATTTTACTTGGAGGCCCAATATTGACAATCCACAGAATTCGCTAAATCTTAATCCACAAGGGTTTGGACATTTAGGCACGAAAATGATTCGTTTATGTTTGGGCAGGGTTTTTATGCCTATGATCGTATACGAAGGTAGGTCAGTATGCTTCTATTTCACATAATGAGCTTATTTGGCTTTGCGAGCAAATATCAGGTACCCAGCGGGCGAGAACGGAACCCTAGCATATTACTGGTCGGTAAGTGGTTAAAGGCATCACTTATCCTTTTGCCACTGTATCATTCATTGCAAGGGGTAATCCTTGACTTTTCCTCTGTTTTTTCTTAGAATCCATTATAAGCTACACTATTTTTTTCGACTTCGGAGACACTTTGCCTGTACGAATTAGAAGTTGCCCGGAACGAGAATTACAAGAATTTGATTTCGACATTAATATAGTTTCTTATAGCAACTCATCTGTATCTTGTGTCGAGAAAAAAGGATTTAACAAGTTTTGATATTAGAGCTACGTTTGTAAGGCACACTTATTTTCAATGACATAGCCGTTACACAATCTAATTTATAAAACTGAATGTATGTCTGTATTAGTGGCGTACCTGGATTTCCGTTCGGGGGGGGGGGGGGGACAAAAGAATTTTTTCTGATAAAACTGCGAGTCGTCAGCCACAAACTCCAAGAAATTTTTATTGGTATGCTTTTCAAAATTTTTGCGAGCCCATAACAGCAGAATTTCACAAAAGGGGGCGTGGCTGCCGCTCCATTTTCTAAAATTTTCTAAAAAATTTTTCGTCAGGCCAAATTGAATTTCCAAAAATTTTCAAAAATCATATTAATTATTTACAAGTATAAACAAATCGCTTACACATTTCCATAATGACGTTGAGGTTACGAGAGATATGTAGAACAACAATCGTCTGATAAAAAGCAACTCGATATACTTGATGAATTGCCACGCAGGCTTAATTGTGATGTAGTACCTCAACTGAAAATTGGGTAATTGAACTGTTTACTTTGAAAACGATAAAATAAACGCAACAAATTAACATAGATGTAACTAGAAAATACATAACAAATGGGTGTTAAGGTAAAGATGATCATGACAGGTATAAATGGCTAAAAAATACTTGTGCAAATCAGAGCAAACACAAATTGCTACGATACTTGTTATCTTTTCCTTACTTGGTCCTTGTGTGGTTTTTATAATTAATTGTGGATCAGTAGGAGGAAGAATAAAAAATAATTGTTGTTGTAATTGTCTTTTTAGCTACTAGTTACTCTTAGCAGGCAGAGAATACATGAAAAGGCTCAATGCAATACTACCGTGCCTATAGTTCTTATATGACCTTGCGAGATAAATTGATAAGTAAACAAGGGAATGAAGTCACGGGCACTTAGCCGGCCAAGCGTGACTCATGGCTCGCCAGTTAGATCCTCCTCTGAAACGCATTCCAAAACCGTCTGGCGCGGCCTGGCGTCTGAAAACTTGCTCGCGCAGTGGTTTGTGCTAAAATAAAATTGCAAGTAAAGGAATACTTAACAGGCAAAACGTAGCATAATTGCTTGTTTTCCTTATCGTTGGCGACATATAACTCATATAAGTGGCTTTCAAAAATTTCGCGACACATTCTGGGGGGAGGGAGGGGGGAGGGTCTCTCGGTACATCATCTGTATGTATTTCTATAATGCGCATGTATGTTCCTGTTGGAAAATTCCATTTCTGAACCAATACGGGCAAAAATTTGTCGCATGTACACTTCGGGGAGGGGGAGGGGTCGTAGGTTACCGTTGTTTGCATTTGACTGAGGATCTAAGCGATGGTAAGCAAGACAACGCTGTTGTTAATATAAAGTGAACAAAGCAGAGCGAGTGCATTTCTCTAACAAAGAAGCTATAGTGCACATATTACTAGAAAGTAGTCAAGTTACAATTCGAGTTAGGTCTTGAGGTAAATGCAAACAGTTCCTTGGGTTGGCATGAACCATGATTTCCGCAATACGAAGTGCTATTGGGGGACGAGTGGCGTAGTGGTATGAGGCGCCGCTATGACCAGGTCGGACACAGGTTCGATCCCCGACCCTGGGCCAACCAAGCCCTCTACCCCCGGGGCCGATAAATTGGTTCCAGAGTAATCTGGGAGGATAAAAGCACTGACTTGGTAAACGGCTGGCCTCCGCAAGTCACCGTATTAGACTCGCACGCATACAATTGCCACTTCGACTGTGAAGTAGTGTGCGTTCGGCGCATGCTCGCAGAATGTATTGAAGACGCCGAATTCTTTATTTTTTATAAAGTGCTATCACATCCTGAATGCAGGCAAAATCATCCAAAACCATCATCTCTACCAAATCTTGAACACACTCTTGTCCAAGGCACCACATGGTAGAAGATTGCTTCTGAACATAGGTGCGATAGCCTGACACGCTCCTCCGAAAAGGAGGATCTCTGTTTATAATCTGGTGTAAAAGTTTCCTCTAATTCCCTACTTTGTGAATGCGTTCGCTCAAGTTGTCCAATTTTCCGCTTCTGCTTGCAAAGGATTGAGGCATACTTCCCGCGATTCCAGGACATGTGTTCCGAGTCCGCTGCGCACGCGCGCCCAAGTGTATGGTCGCGTCTGTGTTAGATTGAACTGCGACAAATCGCGGGCCATTTTTTGACGGGCATGCCTTCAGCGGGGATATCATTGACATCATCAACATCGATGAAACTACCATGTCGCCGTGGCTAGTTCCCCACCAGCGATGGCAAATCGCTCGAAGGGCTTCTCATTTATAAGAATTTTTTCGCAAACGTGGACTCATTTAGAACTTCCATTTCGTCAAGCTTCTTTTTTGCATGAGATAGGAATGGGCCGTTCCATACTATTGATCGTTCAAAAATAACAATGCTAACAAGGGAAGAATGGGTGGTCGAAGTGATCTTTTGAGATGAGTTGTATACCATGTTGGAAAGATAAAACGCTGATTCCAATTCTGTCTTCACTATCTGCGGCGCGTTCCTGCACGTGAAGTTATGAGAATTTATTGGAGAAAAAATTGAATGTGCATAATGTAAAAACAACAAATGGACCAGTGGTAATTTTTCCAGCGCTCTATTAAATGAATGCTCTTAGGTGAGATATATCCGCACTCCGGCTGTCTCATTCAAGCGCTGGGAAAATTTTTGCAACGGTCTTTGCCCCAGAAAAACATCATTTTTTGCACCTTTAAACGCTCATAGCTCCTCCTCCAAGAACGCGACGCAGATAAGGAAGAAAGATTTGGAATCAGCATTTTACGGCCTCCAACAACGTATACAAGTCATCGCAAAAGCATCGCATCGCATCGCACTTCGACTGACCATCCTTCCCTTGTAGTATATAGCAGAAATACTTCTAAGTCGCCATACCCTCTGTGCAGTGGCGGGGGGGGGGGGCGCTCCCTCCCCCCAGAACGGGTCCCGAAATTTTCGAAAGTTACTTACATGAGTTATGAAAATGCGCAGTTGACTTGTTTATTTTTGTAGACAATTAAAATAATTTTTAAAGTTTTTTAAAAATACAAAAAAGCCTTATAAAAAAACTTTTTTCGGGGGCATGGCTGACGCCACGCTCCCTTCTTCCAGATTTTAGGAGTTGGAGGCCCGAAAAAATTTTGAGAAGCCCCCCTGAAAAATTTTCGGAGCGCGTGGCTGACGCCACGCACCTTCATTTGAAAAAATTTTTTGCCGCCCCCCCCCCCCCCCGAGCCGAAATTCTGGGTACGCCACTGCCTCTGTGTTAGCACATTTACTGTTCTCGTAATGCACTAAAGCTTTTCCTGCTCTTATTCAGTAGTTACGAAGTAAATGGTAACCATTTCGAATGCCCTTGTTATGATTTCTGTAGCAGAACAGATGTGCAATCATGGTTGTTCAGACATATATGTATCTTCGTTCGCAGATTGGCAGACAAGAGCTCGCGAAGCACTTGGTGGGAATATTCCTACACCTAATTTTTTACAGGGCCGAGCATGACCTTATATGAAGCTAGCTAAATGCTTACCAATGACTAGAACAGTAAATTCAAATACTTATGAACAGGGTCAAGCGTGGGGTGTGGTACTACACCTGGGGGGGGGGGGTGGGGTCGTATTAAGGAGTCAAAAGGGGAGGGGGTCGTACTTGGGTAATCTGATAATAGTGACAACATGATATTCGTATGATATCCTAATTAGCATGTCAGTTACCCCTGTAGACAAAGTGTGAGCGAATTCTGAAGATTCAAGATACTAGGCTACCTAAGTGAAATGGTCAAATTCAACATGGTTAACTTTGTTTCAAAGGTGAATTAGCTATCCGCTTTTGCACTCAAGACAAAGCACTACTCCTTCTTTGTCCATCTCAGAAATCCCGCTTCAAAAGACCTCCAAACGGTGGAATTAGAAGCCCACCAAAATCTCATTTTTCCCATTTTTCGCTCTCAATGGCTGTGCTTTCACCAATTATTGCTCAGAGCTAAGAAGACGAATCAGGCTTAGAACATTTCTATGGAATCTACGAGGTGTAGGCTATCGATTCATATAAATACTGTTCGCCAAAAATGTTTTTTATATAGTTAATAGGATGTGGCATACCCCCTTAAAAGGCTGCCAAAGCTTTTAAGGGGGTATGCCACATCCTATTAACTATATCAACAAAAAAAACATTTTTAGCGAACAATATTTATATGAATCGATAGCCTACACCTCGTAGATTCCATAGGAATGTTTTAAGCCTGATTCGTCCTCTTAGCTCTGAGTAATATTTGGTGAAAGCACAGCCATTAAAAGCGAAAAATGGGAAAATGAGATTTTGGTTGGCTTCTATTTCCACAGTTTCGAGGCCTTTTGAAACGGAATTTCTGTTAAGCAAAGAAGAGGTAGTGCTTTGTCTTGAGTGCAAAAACAGATAGCTAATTCAATCTTTGAGACAAAGCTAATCATGTTGGAAAATGACCATTTCACTTAGATAGCCTAGTATCTTGAATCTTCAGAATTCGGTCAAACTTTGTCTATAGGGGTTAACTGACATGCTCATTATGGATATGTTACCCATTATGTTTGACAGGGCCTTCAGGTAATGCTATCTTAGGTATGTAATTCAGGGGGGTCTTATTAAGACAGCAATCAGGAGGGGAAGGGGAGGGTCGTAACCAGCGATTGCCACACCCCTTGCTTGACCTTGCTTATGAACTAGTAATCTGTTCCATTGCAAATCAAAGGCACTGTCCATCCAAATCTTCGACGCAGGTGTTTGTCAGTTTCGCCTCTTTCGTGACCCTGATTTCGAATAAGAAGTTCGTATTGCACGAGAATCTCAAAGAAACCGTTTGGTGACCTTCTTTTGGAAAACGCGGATGAGTGCTATGAAGCTGCTCTATCAGTTGCAAGCAAGGTGCGTTTTGACGTGGCAAGCACAATCGCTACACAGTATGCGATTTCATCGAGCTTTGTCACGTCAGAACACTCAAAATGGGCGCTTGGTGGGCGGGATGACCACCTGGGCGGGGTAACCACCTCCAAATCTACTCCTTCCAGAAGAAATTTCTTGCTTTGCATGCAATCTTTCGTAACGCATCTTGGGCATTTGCCTAATCTAAAAGCCCACAACCGTATGACATAAGAACTTGTCTTTCTCCACTTTCGATGCACGGTTAGAGGCAGTGTCCGGGCAAAAAGCCGATTTTGAGATTTTGTGCTTGTCCGGGCCTATTCCCTATGCTGAATCCGAATATCCACATTGGAAAGCGCGAAAACGGCGAAAAAGGGCTCTAACGCAGGAGTGAAATCAAAAGTGCGGGGTCTTCTCCTAGGTAAATTCACGGTCCCAGTTTTTAAAGCAATATTTTCAATTCCACTAACCGTCCTGACATCTCAACGGACCAAGTGCGAATGCATGATCTGAAGTCGGAAGCGAAAAGATCGCTCCGGGAGCTGGGACCGTGAATTCACCCTGGGGAAGACCCCGTCCACTTTTGATTTCCCTCCTGCGTTAGAGCCCTTTCTTGCCGTTTTCGCGCTTTCCAGTGTAGATTTTCGGATTCAGCGTAGCGAATAGGCCCGGGTAAGCACAAAATCTCGAGATCGAGTTTTTGCCCGGACACTGCCTTTAACTTGCGCCGGAAGAAAAACGTTGCTAGAAATCAGGGTGGAATGTGATTCCATATCCTTTTTGTTTTGATGTAGTGTTCTCTGGAAGCATATGGCGACACATGTTATTTCTTTGAGTGAATGCACTTCATACAAACTAATGCAAATTCTCCAAAAGTGCGCATAACACGGTGTGACGTGTGAACGTCTATCAAATTGCTATGTTTGTGTCCGGTAATTAAGAGCCATGAGCGATTTCCACGCAGCGAACGTCGCCCAGGCAGTTCAATCGTAACTTTTGAAAATCGTAGCGATCAGATCGCTGGAGGTAAGTAGGCCTACGAGGCCTAAAGCACACCTTCCAGCCGCGTCGCGATCTTCAACCCGGACATATGTTTCGAGTCTGCAGCGCACGCGC